CACAGAGCCCCCTAATCACAGGTGAAGGAGGTCAGGCACAACATCATTTGTTGCTATGGTGCTGCTAGATGTCACCATGTCAACTCGTGACACTGAGCCAGAATCACACAGGCCTTCCAACCCCCAATCTTCGAGCCATCACCACATAGCCCCCATCATAGAGCCCCAAATTATACAGTCCCTCCATCACAGAGCCACCAGTAACACAGCTCTCCCCCCCAGCACAGAGTTTCCCAATCAAATAGTCCAGCAGCTAGGCAGAGGGTGATAGGTGTTGGAGGTCAGGCACGGCATCAATCATTGCTATGTGGTTGCTGGCCAGCCTGCTCGCACCATTGCAACTCATGAGGCTGATCCACAGAAAGCAGGATCCTGTGGTTGCAGTTCCCTGGGGGAACCCCGATGTCATTTGAGAGACACTGCACCTGGAGACAAACCTGGAGATACTGTGGTGCTGTTTATTGAGCCTAGAGTCCAGAAGGTCCACATCCAGCATCTCCCAAATGAAAGGTCCTGGAACATCTCCTGGTCCAGGCACTGCCAACTGAGGAATACTGCCTGCAAATTTTCCAGGTCTGGAATGTAAATGGTGGACAAACCTGGAATGTGAAGTTTTGCCCAGCACAAGGTCCCCTCTGCCTCTCTTGCTGTGGTGAAGTTTACAGTTCCTCCCTGATGGTTGATGTACCTCACTGCAGTGGCTTTGTTCGATAGAATCCAGATCAGATGACCCTCAAGTAGGATAGTCCACCAGGGGAGGGAGGGGGCCAAATCACAAATTATGAAGCTCCAAGAAGCTGATTTGGAGACCAGATTTCTCTGACATCCAAGTCTGTGGCACTGATTGATTTCTAAGCTGCCAGGTCAGGGGAACCTGGTCATTGGTGCCAAATAATTGGTCTGTCTAGGGACTGGACTGACTTGTCTCTAGACAACAGATCTTTGCGTTGTACGGGCCTAGAGTAAAATGGAGCAATTGAGACTACCTTGAAGGAGACACCCATCAGATCAAGGACTCTCTCGAGCAAAAGCTTATGGCCAATGACTCCTGGACTGAAAAGCATGAGCATGAGAAAAACGTGGCCTGACCTGTGTCTAGGACTAGACCCCTTAACTCCAAACAATGAGTGTTTTCCAGCTCTGATTTCTGAAGTTTCAGAATTCATCTCAATTGTTGCAATGTCAATGCCCAGCAGAACCCATGGCGACTGTTCCCTCACCAGGAGGTCATCTAAGTATCCCACACTGGGGATGCCTCAAGAGCACAACAGGGCTTGTCTTGGGACCGACACCTTGGTAAACTCTTAAGGTGCAGTAGAGAAGCTAAATGGCAGGGAACTCACAGGAAATAAATATTTAACATCCTCAATTTCCACACAAGTAAGGATTGTCTCTCTGGTAAAGGGAGGCGATACCAGACCTGGTGGATTTAATACAGAATTTCTAAGCTCAAATGAGGACATTCAGTGCCTAGAAATTCAAGATGGGGTGGATGCCCCTTTTGAGTTTGGGGTGGGTGCCATGAAAAGTTTTACAGTAAAATTCCTAAAACCATTCTGCCACAGGAAATGGGGCAATAACAGCTTGATGCAGAACTCCAGAGATGGCTACCTGGAAGTCTGTTAATTTGTGTGGTGACTTGGGTGAGCAAACATCTTGTCAAGATGTTTCCAATCTCCATAGAAGCAGACAACACTGATAAAAGCAACAGACTTATCTTTTAGTGTCAGAGTGGTGTGCACCGCATAAATAGGAGCTAAAAAAGGTCAATGGATGGCATGCTGCATTTTTCCACAGTGCAGTGGATTGCACCGCACATCACCTAGTAGTAGTTGTGGAGACATACATGAAGTGTCACTTTGAGGTACCTCAAGCAAAGTAAAGATAAAGAGTAAGCAGTGTGATGAGCACCAACGAGCATTGCACCACCCTGTGCAAGACCTCACACCAACAGATGGCACATAGCATAATGCTGCATTTTACCATGTGCGCTAGTGTGGAAAAGCCCTAAAGTAAGAGAAATTACTGATTGGCTTTTAGGATTCAAGTTTACATCAGATCATCAAATTAGTCTACAGGTGAAACTCGAAAAATTAGAATATCATGCAAAAGTTTATTTATTTCAATAATGCAACTTAAAAGGTGAAACTAATATATGAGATAGACTCATTACATGCAAAGCAAGACAGTTCAAGCCGTGATTTGTCATAATTGTGATGATTATGGCTTACAGCTCATGAAGACCCCAAATCCACAATCTCAGAAAATTAGAATATTACGTGCAATCAATAAAACAAGGATTGAACAATATCAGACCTCTGAAAAGTATAAGCATGCATATGTACTCAGTACTTGGTTTGGGCCCCTTTTGCAGCAATTACTGCCTCAATGCGGCGTGGCATGGAAGCTATCAGCCTGTGGCACTGCTGAGGTGTTATGGAAGACCAGGATGCTTCAATAGCGGCCTTCAGCTCTTCTGCATTGTTCGGTCTCATGTCTCTCATCTTTCTCTTGGCAATGCCCCATAGATTCTCTATGGGGTTCAGGTCAGGCGAAATTGCTGGCCAATCAAGCACAGTAATCCCATGGTCATTGAACCAGGTTTTGGTGCTTTTGGCAGTGTGGGCAGGTGCCAAGTCCTGCTGGAAAATGAAGTCAGCATCTCATAAAGCTCGTATGAGGAAGGAAGCATGAACTGCTCCAAAATCACAAGGTAGAAGGCTGCGTTGACCCTGGACTTAATAAAGCACAGTGGACCAACAGTGCACAACAGAGATGACATGGCTCCCCAAATCAACACAGACTAGGGAAACTTCACACTGGACTTCAAGCATTTTGCAGTGTGTGCCTCTCCATTCTTCCTCCATACTCTGGGCCTTTGGTTTCCAAATGAGATGCAAAAGTTGCTCTCATCAGAAAAGAGGACTTTGGACCACTGAGCAACAGACAAGGTAAGACACTTCTGCGTTGTTTGTGGTTCAGGAGCGGCTTGACAAGAGGAATACAACATTTGAAGCCCATGTCCAGGATCTGTCTGTGTGTGGTAGCTCTTGATGCACTGACTCCAGCCTCAGTCCACTCCTTGTGAAAGTCCCCAACACTTTTGAATGGCCTTTTCCTGACAATCCTCTCCAGGCTGTGGTCATCCCTGCTGCTTGTGCACCTTTTTCTTCCACACTTTTCCCTTCCACATAACTTTCTATTAATGTGCTTTGATACAGCACTTTGGGAACATCCAACTTCTTTTGCAATTACCTTTTGAGGCTTTCCCTCCTTATGGAGGGTGTCAATGATGGTTTTCTGCACAACTGTCAGGTCAGCAGTCTTTTCCATGATTGTGATTCCTACTGAACCAGACTGATAGACTATTTAAAGGCTCAGGAACCCTTTGCAGGTGTTATGGCTTAATTAGCTGATTAGAGTGGGACACTTTGAGCCTAGAATATTGCACCTTTTTACAATATTCTAATTTTCTGAGATTTTGAATTTGGGGTTTTCATGAGCTGTAAGCCATAATCATCACAATTATGACAAATCACTGCTTGAACTATCTTGCTTTGCATGTAATGAGTCTATCTCATATATTAGTTTCACCTTTTAAGTTGCATTACTGAAATAAATAAACTTTTGCACGATATTCTAATTTTTCGAGTTTCACCTGTATATTAAAAATTAGCATGGTCTAAATCAAAAACGTAACACAGAATTTCATGGCAGTCAGTGTGAAACCTCATATTAATGGATCAAAATAGAGAACATCGAACACTGGAATGATGATGTACCTTGTCTTAATGATCAACTGGCAACAATGTTATCAATTTTGTATCTTTCCAATTAAACTGAAGAAATATGTGTTTTTCTGATAAGCACACAACTACTCTACTAACCAGGACTAGGCACATCTGCTCCAGAAGCATCTCCAGCCCAACAACTTGTGTTGGATACAAGGATACTCCTTGTAGGAGAAGATCTGTTGTATTTTGGATTCCTTATCACAAGATGGCGTGCGCTATGTTTTGGTTTGATATGAGTATGGGGTGATCTCATGGTGGAACGGGGCAGTACCCCCTTCCTTGCTGTCTACTTTGGGATGTTGGTCAGTAGTTGTTTTTCCCCCTTCCAAAGTTTGGATTGGTGGTGGGGAGGTTCACCGCAGTCCCGCCATTCAGTGTGCATGCATGGGATATCGGCCAGCGTTTTGTGGCTACTGGGAATGCGTGGCCGATTATCAGTTACTCACAACTGCACCCCTTGAACCCCTGAAGAAGCTATAGTGTGAAATGCTTTGGGATCTGGCACCCCCTCTTACAGAACGACATACTTATTTGCTATATAGTACCATACTGTATTATAAGTCTACTAAAGAGGGGAAGTGCATTTTGGGAGTTGTGACACTAATGACAAATATGAGGTTCTGCTCTTTTAGTTTGTCTTGATCTTACTATTTTTAGGGGAGTGCTTTGCCCCATCAATTTTAGTTAATTGAACAATAAGAGTTGTTGATTTTATTTTAAAGAGTGGCTGTCTCTGTCTTTGAGAGAAGGTATCAGCACCGTCAAAATCCTAATTCTTCCTTGTTCCCTTTTTTGACTGATTTTTCATGAACACGGATGTGGTCACTGAACTTACCAACTTGACCTATTATTATTATTTTCTATTGAACCCTCACACTGACAGATACCCACACAGCATAATGCTGCATTTGACCATGTGAGCTAGTGTGGATAATTTACTGATTGGCTTTTAGGATTCAAGTTTACATCAGATAATCAAATTAGGCTATATTAAAAACTAGCTCGGTCTAAATAAAAAATGTAACACAGAAGGTCAAGGCAGTCAGTGTGAAACCTCATATTAATGGATCAAAATAAATAACATCAAACACTGGAATGATGATGTACCTTGTCCTAATGATCAACTGGCAACAATGTTATCAATTTTATATATTTCCAATGAGAATGAAGAAATATGTGTTTTCCGATAAGCACACAATTACTCTACTAACCAGGACCAGGCACATCTGCTCCAGAGGCATCTCCAGCCCAACGACTGGTGTTGGATACAAATGCAGAGCTGGAAATGTACTGTTTGGGAGGTCCATCATAGTCCACAAGTTCATAATACCCAGGGCCTGGAAAACTTGGTGTCTTGGGAACTGGTACCGCGGTGGCTGAGAAACAGAGGTAATGTTTCCTCCTGAAACACAGCAAAGTTGTTGTTAGAACTGGTCAGTATGAAAACCTTTCTATGAGAAATATAATTGACGATATAATAAAAATTATGATCAATATAATGAAGAAAAATGTATTCTGTTCTCTTAAATAATATTTTAGGTATCATTTTTTTACCACAGCTATTGGGAATACATATACTTTTTTCTGAATTGCTTAAAGCTCATTGTTTTGTTAAATAAGATGCTTCTTTGCAGCTTCCACACTTCTCAACAGACTCAAAACCAATATATTATCACCCACAGAAATTCATTGTTTCAATACTACTAAACTATAGCTGAAGATTTTATAGGAAATAGATACTGTCATTGCAGTTATGTTATGCTTTCACTGTCTCTCATGCCTTATAAATGCATGCACACCTAAAGGTTATTTTTCTTTCACCTTTCTTTTATAAATTTTTGCAGATGTCAGTGATAAGACCAATCAAAGGTGTCAGCTCCACCAATCAAACCCTGTGCTTTTAATATGGTTATGCGATAACTTGCTTTGTTTCAGCACCCAGTATAGCTATGCCTCCATATGTGCCTGTGGACAATCATTTAAACAGCAGAAGGATGAGTGGGTAACCACACTGCACTACCTAAAATTGAGCAAGCTTTCTTGTGTCAAAGTGTGACAGTTCCTGTGGGAAAATCTTTTTTCTGTGATACCTGATCATTTCAAGATTCCAGTGGGTGAACATGGTGGCATCCATTCAAGGCTGAAAAATCAGTTTTACATAGACCTCTTTAAAATACTCCATGGTATTAGCAATAGTAGAAGGTGGATCGATCAAAAATGTTTAGCATGTTGAAAACTGAGATGAAATCTCAGAGGAATGAAGTGGGTTTACTGTCGTCAGTAGAAAGAAACAAAAGGTACAGAACATGAGCCTAAGGTGACAAATAACTGAATCTTAGGCTGAACACTGCTACAACATACTGCTGACACAGTAGGTCAGTTTTACTGTTCTAAATATGATTACTCTTAAAGTCATTCCTATACAACAAAATAGGTGTACAGTAACAAACTGCCTAGAGGGGACATATTGTTGACCTCGGAAATATCTATTTGGGCTTTACTGAATAGCAAACCTTTTACTAAACAATCCGTTATAACTGTTGAAAGTTCCTAATCTTGCAATGATTTTGTTAAGCAGTTATTTCCGTGCCACCATTGTCAGCAATCCAAATGTAAAAGTATCTAAACATTTGTAGAGAGGAGAGGAGATCATAAGGTTTGTTTGTTTAGTTAATCTTATTTTGGCATTGTACATGTGCCACTACTTACATTGTAGTAGATTGTAGGCTGTGGCATGCTTAAATAACTGCAACTGAATAAGAAAGTTTTGTAATTATAATATTGGACAAGAAAATGATTAACATACCCAGAAGAAGGTACATGCACAAACCACCTTTAGCAGCTCCTTAGTTCTAGAAATTACTCTAGAGCAGCAATGGGTGTTTACATAAATGTCTACAGCTTTATATCATCTCTATGGCTTCTGTTAGAGAGTAAATGTATCCATAGTCATAAGTTGACCATTACTGCATTTTAATAAGACTGGGTGATCAGTTGTCTGTAAGAAGTATCAGATCATTGCAGATATCTCTGGACAAGGCCTACTTAATGGTTCCAATGTAATACAAAATTGTTCTTCCATTTAAAGATTTTCCCCACAGTAGATTTCTGCCACTTGATGCCCTAAGTCTGATGGCCAGCATCATTCAATCCATTTCTTATGAATCCTGGCTGTCTAGGACCTGATCGGGCCTGTGACAGTGAAAGGAGCTGCCTTAATTTGTGTTCATTTCTATCTGCCTAGAGTTCAGCTTTAAGTGTTTTCCAGTTGAATACCAGGCAGATATAAAAACACCAGTGAATCCAGCAAAGGATTCATTTAAAAAATAATTAAAGCTGAAGTTTAGTATATGTTTTTAGGATACAGTACCAAACTCATTAGGCATTTGTAAGGGTGTGTATCCCATTTTCCACAAGCAGATGCTTCTGTTAAAAATAGTCCTTGCCTCTTTCAGAGCCACCAGATACTGCCTACCTATTAAAGTTTAACATCAGCCTCTGCTATTGAGAACACTTGCACCACTCGCCTGCCCCTTCAGCTTTCTCTGTCATTCACAAAACTTGCATTACTACTCTTCCTCTATGTGTATTGCATTCTGTGTATGGGCAGTGGGGATCCTGTCATTCAACTGCTCCTCCTCAAGTCTCAAAATGCAATACATTGTGGTAGAATAGTAATAAGTGCAATATGAAAGGTGGACGGGGCAGCAGGAGGCAAGTGCAACTTTTCTCAGCAGCAGCAGCTGCTGTTAACCTTCACAGCCCAGGAGTTCAGCCTCTCAAGGCAATATTTGGCAGCTTTAAAGCAGACATTATAGGGAAGATTTTTTCCAGAAGCAGCTCCCAGTAAAATATATATGCCAACTTCAGCTTTGAAGTAAATCTAAACCCAATCACTAAAATCACATAAGTTTTAAAATATTAATGGAATTCAAAAAGGTGCTTTTAGTCTATTTAGTCCTTTCGCTTTCACCATTGTAAGGTTAATATCAGAAGCTGCAAGGGTTTTACACATATTGTAGCAACCAGGAATTAGTGTAAATTTCACAAGCCAACTGTTGGCTTTCAGATGGAAGTGATTTCTTACACTGATCTATGGAACAGCCGCCCACCATGTTTCCCAGGCTGCACTGTCCCAGCTGCATACCCAAAACTGACAGGGCAGGTGTCGCTGGGTAGAGAAGAGGGTGACCAGTGATTTTCCATTCCCTGATCTCCCCTAGCTAGTAAGAACCCATACGTGACGAGGATTATGCCACTTCTGGTTTTAGGTGTCACTTTCACTGGCTGCTGTGGCCGGGGAAGATTCAAATGAAGTACGATCTGTGTTCCATTAGCTTTAGGGGAGGACTGGGGAGGCTGATTTTAACCTTACAACAGGCAGCACAGTGGCTAAATGGTTAGCACTTCTGCCTGGCAGTACTAGGGTTGTTGGTTCAAATCCCAACCATGGCACCTCCTGCCTGGAGTTTGCATGTTGTCCCTGTGCCTGCGTGGGTTTCCTCCGGGTACTCCGGTTTCCTCCCACACTCCAAAGGCATGCTGGTAGGTTAATTGGATCCTGTCTAAATTGGCCCTTGTATAGGAATGTGAGTTAGGGACCTTAGATTGTACGCCCCTTGAGGGTTAGGGACTGATGTGAATGTACAATATATATGTAAAGCGCTGCGTAAATTGATGGCGCTATATAAGTACCTGAAATAAAATAAAATTAAATAATCTAATAGACCCCTGATGTATCAGTAAAGAAAACCTGTCACAGCAAAATGCTCATAGGCGGCTTGTCAAAAAAAAGTTTAAAAAAATAAAGTTACACCAAAGCACAAAAACCCTCCCCCCAAAAATGTAAATCATCTCCCTATATACACAAACACACATGTTGGGGGTGACTATGTCCAAAACTGTTGCCTGTACTATACATTACTCACCTGTACTACACATGTGCCATGAGCGAGAGCAATAATTCTGGGGAAATTTATGGTTAACTGTGAACGTATGACCTATATAAGATTTTAGAGCATTGCCTATAGGCAAAATGGAGTTTTGTCTCCTTTTCATGAGTGCCTGCAATTTTAAGATTTTACAGGTTTGGTATTGATTTACTGGATGTAAGCTCATCTTTTATATTTTACCAAATACATGGGCAATATATTGTGTTTTGTGTGTACTAAATTAACATATTTTTTACTGAACATACAGTATGCTTTTGATAAACATGTGAACTAATGTCATGTGATATAAAAAAATCTAACCATCACTTTTCTGTCCCACCTGTATGTATTATTTCTGTGTTGTATTGAACAGCATCAGGTTACTATTGTTTTGATGTATGCTGACATATAGTGGTGGGTTTGGTCTACTATATCTTGCTTACTTGATTGTTTTCTTCATCTGCCATTCCCACCTGTTTAATGTTAGTTTGATCAGTTCAAGCTAGACTCGCTGGGATGATTTACTAAAATTGGAGAGTGCAAAATCTGGTGTAGCTCTGATTGCACAAATCAGTTTCCAGGGTTTTTTTTGTCAAAGCTTAATTGAACAAGCTGCAGTTAGAAGCTGATTGGCTACCTTGCAAAGGTGCACCAGATTGTGCACTCTCCAGCTTTAGTTAAACAACCACTCTGTGTTTCTTTCATGGTCCCTTAGTGTTAGTTCCTTGGAGAGACAGGGCTTAGGAAAGTCATTGTCTTCTTACACTTCAATGTCTGGAAAAACATCATCTGTGCTGCAATTAACTGAAGTAAATTTGTGATGAATTAAACTTCTATTTTTGAATAAAGAATTAAGCTGTCTGTGGATGGTGCAAAGTCAGCAGGTGACCATACTATCCAGACAGACTGGGTCTAAGAAAGTATGGCAATGTATAGAAGAGCATTTGAAATAAAACTACCATTTTATTTTCCAGGGACCATACTTTAGGAAAATGTACTGTATAATGTTTGGACTGTTTAACTAATCTTCCGGCCTAAAATGTGCATTTTAACAAGTGTGCAATAGATGCAAAAATGGCTCTGGCAGTGAAAGAGGTAAATATGCATCTTGTAATAAAAGCATGTCTGGGAATCCTTCCTTGAAAGTCCCTATTCAGGCACTTCTTATTATGGAGTGACAACTGTCTTCTAGTTGTGCACTTGTTACCCTGTCATGTGGGCCCTGATGGGGACAAGTCCACCACTGTCACCTTCCAGAAGCTGATCCAGAACAATTACATGCAGTCAATGCTGGAGCAAGTGCACATGGAAAAGACGTGGCTGAACAAAGCGAGAGAAGATCAGCAGCACAAAAAGATACAAAAAAAAAGATTTAAAAAGTGAAAAATTTATTTTATTTTAAGAAATAGTTACATAGTTAGTCTGGCTGAAAAAAGACAAAAGTCCATCCAGTTCAACCATAACAAAAAAAAAAGTTATAATCTTACACCCACAGTTGATCCAAAGGAAGGCAAAAAAAAAACCCAGCAAAGCATGATCCAATTTGAGAGACAGGGGCGGACTGACAACTCGTGGGACCCCGGGCAATAGGGGATCATGGGGCCCCTGTGTCATTGCCCAAACTCAAAAAGGCCTATGAAAAAGGTACCAGGGGCATGTCATGGGGCCCCCTACTGACCCTGGGCTCTCGGGCAGTGCCCGAGTTTCCAAATGGTCAGTCCGCCCCTGTACAGAGAACATACTGAAATGAGGAGAGTGTAGATTGGTTACTTTGCAATGCTCCTACATTGTCCAGTCACAGACTAGGGTAAGTCTTTCCTCAAGCTGTATTACTCAACTGCAGTGAGCCTTCACAGACATATCAATAAGTGTAGAACCCAGCTGTTCTGTCTTATAGGGGTGCCTGTGTCATATATTGCTTTCAGAGAATTACAAATCTTTTGGAAGGTAAGGTAGTTAACATATATGTTAATTCAAATGTGCATTTAGTTGTTAACATTAAATTCAACTTTAGGAATTAAACCAGTAGTTAACTCTCTATTTGAACTTGTACCTACACGTAAGCTTACAGTCAGGCTTACCTGTAGGTACAATGAACATCTCCTAAACGTGCATCCTTTGCAAAATACAGTGCCTTGAAAAAGTATTCATACCCCTTGAAATGTCCACATTTTGTCATGTTACAACCAAAAACATAAATGTATTTTATTGAGATTTTATGTGATGGACCAACACAAAGTGGCACATAATTGTGTAGTGGAAGGAAAATGATAAATTGTTTATAAAGTGTTATAAAGTGTTTTACAAATAAATATCAAGTGTGACGTGCATTTGTATTCAGCCTCCGAGTCAATACTTTGTAAAACCACCTTTGGCTGCAATTACAGCTGCAAGTCATTTTGGGGATGTCTACCAGCTTTGCACATCTAGAAAGTGAAATTGTTGCCCATTCTACTTGGCAAAATAGCTCAAGCTCTGTCAGATTGGATGGAGAGTGCCTGTGAACAGCAATTTTCAAGTCTTGCCACAGATTCTCAATTAGATTAAGGTCTGCACTTTGACTGGGCCATTCTTGCACATCAATATGCTTTGATCTAAACCATTCTATTGTAGCTCTCGCTGTATGTTTAGGGTTGTTGTCCTGCTGGAAGGTGAAAATCTGCCCCAGTCTCAAGCTTTTTGCAGACTCTAACAGATTTTCTTCTAAGATTGCCCTGTATTTGGCTCCATCCATCTTCCCATCAACTCTGACAAGCTTCCCTGGTCCTGCTAAAGAAAAGCATTCCCAAAACATGATGCTGCCACCATCATGTTTCAGAATGAGGATGGTGTGTTCAGGGTGATGTGCAGTTAGTTTTCCGCCACACATAGTGTTTTGCTTTTAGGCCAAACAGTTCAATTTTGGTCTCATCTGACCAGAGCACCTTTTTCCACATGTTTGCTGTGTCCCCCACATGGCTTCTCATAAACTACAAACAAAACTTCTTATGACTTTCGGTCAACAATGGCTTTCTTCTTGCCACTCTTCCATGAGGGCCAGATTTGTGGAGTGCACAACTAATAGTTGTCCTGTGGACAGATTCTCCCACCTGAGCTGTGGATCTCTGCAGCTCCTCCAGAGTTACCATGGGCCTCTTGGCCGTCTCTCTGATTAATGCTCTCTTTCTTTTTCCCGGCCTGTCAGTTTAGGTGGTTGGTCATGTTTTGGTAGGTTTGCAGTTGTGCCATGCTTATTTTCAGATGATGGATTGAACAGTGCTCTGTGAGATGTTCAAATCTTGTGATTCTTTTTTATAACCTAATCCTGCTTTAAACTTATCCAGAACTTTATTCCTGACCTGTCTGGTGTTTTCCTTGGCCTTCATGATGCTGTTTGTTTACTAATGTTCTCCAACAAACCTGAGATTAAATTACACACAGGTGACTTCTGACGGTGATTGATTCCACTAGACTTTAGTTAGGGGTATCAGAATAAAGGAGGCTGCATACAATTATGTTCCATTTTGTGTTAATCTATCACATAAAATCCCCCAAAAAATACATTTACGTTTTTGATTGTAACATGACAAAATGTGGAAAATTTCAAGGAGTATGAATACCTTTTTCAAGGCACTGTATTCACGTTGGCATGAGCCGATGACGCCACCTTCACTGTGCTGTGGAATGCGGAGCGCTGTGCCACTTCTGCATGCATGAGCAGCAATAATGTCGTTGAGGCCCAGCTATTTAAACGGTGAGAGCCTGTGATCCTGGAAGGAAGAGCGGGTGAAGATGAAAGCCCCAGCATCGGTGACAGAATGTCACTGGAGGACTTCATTTGAAAAATAAGTTTGTCATAATGTGCTAGTATGCGGTGTCCAGATTTTTTTAATTGGCCAGTTCACTACTTCTTTAAATATAAAAGTACCACTAGGTGAGCCAGAAATAATTTTCTAAAAAGATATACTAAGGTAAGAGTTCATTCGCTAAAGACATACTGCCAACACTCAGTGGAAGCAATTTCTTTGTTGAATGAACGTGGAATGTTTATTTCATGCAGTGGGGCGGTAACATATTTTATTTCTAGTGTTTATTTCATTCTCATTACATTTTCTTGAATTTTTGATTTCCTGTTTTCATTTGCCCACAGTTAGTTCGTCACAGAATAAAGTGGAAAATGTGCTCTAGATTTGCATTCTGAGGTAGACATGAAGTTCTCATGTGGCCTTTAGGTCCACTCAATAGGCTCCTGCCTCCACTACTTCCTTTCATTCTTCTTTGCTCTTTCATTCCTAGGTTGCAGTATAGAGTTCACTGTACAGAACATTCTACCAAAATTGTCAGAGCATTACAGCAGAGAAGAAGACAACCTCTAGGACATAGGTATTCAACCTTTTGAGGAGTTAGGGCCACTTAAGTTATTTGATTACTAGTCATGGGCCACAATGAAATGGTTTTAAAATTTTGAATTTTTTATTTTGAATAGCAGTCGCTGAATGCTGGTGGGAGGGAGTGAAGGAGAAACTGGCCTTCAGCAGTTGCAGGGGGAAAACGGAGAGGTTCAATTCCTGTATATGCTGCCCCCCCCCCAATCCAAGTGTAAAACAGAATGTGACAGGGAGGCCACACGGGCCTCCTAGAGCATGGGGTGGGGTTGCAATTGCAACCCCTGACACTACACCACTAATGTCTCAACTATGGGGTTTTATTACCCCCCAAACCGCAAATGTAAAGGATTCCTTACTGTCCTAAGCCCACTATAAGGCTGCTTTCTCACTGATATGCTGTGGTTTACCCACACCGCGGGTGCAGCACAGTGCATTGTGGCTTTCCTGCGGGTTTGCTGCTCTTTGCAAGAGACTTCTATAATAACTTGTGGATGTGGTGCACTTTTCTGAAAGTGCACCAAAACTCTGAATTCAGTTTGAGGTGGAGGGCCACATCAGAGGGCTGTGAGGGCCACATGGCCCATGGGCCACAGGTTGAGAACCTCTGCTCTAGGGCATGATCTGAAATAAGATTTTCACAGTACCTCAAGGTAAGAACCACCCTGCTTACATGAAATGATAACACAGGCAGCCATGGAGGAGACACATATACTCTATAAGTTATAGGGGGTGATCAGTGGTATCAAAGAGAAGATGCAGTTGATGATTTTGGTGCACTGATATGCAGTGAGAATGGGAATATCCTCATCCCTACATAATAACATAACCAATGATATATTTGTAGCACTCTATTAGAACAAGATGCCGGTATTTTTAGTTTTTGGCTCCTTCTGCAATCAAGGGAGCAGTGATTGTTCAGGCAAGCCTGTTCGGGGTTTCACAGACTGTGAGTTTGATTGCTTCCCCTTGCCTCTAGAAGATGTTTCTAGATTTTAGGGAAGGAGAGTTCAAATAATCAGCCTAAATTTTGATCTGGGGAGGTGTGCCCAGATGGTGACTGGGAAGCTGATAAAGAGTCTGGAGTCCTAGAGAGAGGGTATTTGGGGAGAACCATTTAAAATCAGTGGGTCCTATGAAGGTAGTGCAATATATTGCATGGCTGCAGCCAGTCACACCAGTACTTGAGGAAAGAGTAGTTAGATTCTGAAAATACAGCTTTCTGATAACTCACGGAAAAAACAGTCTTCTTTCCTATTTCAGGGCATCCAAATGGGTCATAGCTGGCTGGTCCTGGGTTATTCAAGGCCATATTCAAAACATCCCGAGTAGTCTTTGACTTGAAGCATGACACCAGAACCTTAGGAGATTCTTTAGTTAGCGAATCATTGACTGTATAGTGACCTAAAACAACATAATGTTCATTTATTTAGGGTTTACTCTAGGAATGTTAAGCAACCTGTTCTTTTGTGTCTTTTGGGTTTGCCCACTTTTTTTTAAATCATAACTTTGCAGAATTCAGGGCTTTGTAACTTTCCTACTAATTTCAGTGAAACTGTACTTATTTATTATGTTTGCTATGCTTTCATTGCTAAAGCCGTAGATATACAATTAGTTTAGAAGGATTGTATTAGTATTAAGCAAACAGCCACATAATGATGACTTGTAATGTCTAGAATGGACTTCCTACTAAAAGCATCCAATATAACCAGATTTGTCAGCATGTCCTAAAAAAAGAATCACTAACCCTACCTGACCCTATTCAATTCTTGAAAACCAATATATACAGAAATCATATTTATTTAAGGCAGACTTTCCTCCGTACAATCACGAACAAAGTAAAGCCAAAAGGTTGTTGGAAAAGGTTGTTAAAAGACCAAAACTGTTCACTTGCAAGAGAATTTGCACTTTGAATCATAATTTTCCCACAGCTTACTGAATGAGGTGAAGTGTTGCTGACTTTCGACATCCAATCACATTAAAGAAAAAAATGCCGTTTTTCTATTTTCCTTGCACTTGATTGGGTATTTTCTGCAAAGTGAAATTGTACCACATTCGCTAAGCTCTGTGGAAAATTCTCATGCAAATGCAACTACCCTTGGAAAGTGCAACTTCAGTGCAAAGTGAACTGCCTATTTCCCTTTTATAAATCAACCCTATTTATTATTATTGGCAGTCGTTTATTTCCAAGAATGTTGCTCCCTCTTCAGCATTCTCTCCTCAGCAGCCATTTTAAGAAAGTACTAATTATTTTTCTCTCTATAGTTCCTAGACTACTTACCCACTGCCAGCAACAATGAGCAATAATATTCGCGCATGAACATTTAGACCACTAACCACAAACTGTCAGAGAAAAGAAAAAAAAAAGCTTTACCTGGGGATGTAAAAAGAAATGTCATGATATCTTGCTGTGCAAGAAACTGAGATTTTGATTCCACTACCCAGTTTCTATAGGCAATGGTGAAGTAGCCTTTACTTCCCTGGTGCACCCTGGGAAGGCAACATCACCATTGCCTATAGAAACTGGTTAGTGGAATCAAAATCTCAGTTTCTTCTGTCAACAAAACTGCTTTTTTAGCTATTGTACACTTCCTGCAATGCATGGCAGTGTACACCTCAGTTTATTATGCAACCAAGGATGATGTAACACCTATGCGCATGTGCAGGAGTTACACCATTAGTGGCTGCCTCATAGCAGACATGGAGGACACCATACCCAGAAGAAGACAGAGAGACAGGGGAGATTGTTTGGAGGGGGCAGTTTGATAGGTACGTGTGCCATAATGTGCAAGTAAGCTTAAGTTCTGCTTTAAGGGTTAGTTTAAGTGTTAGGATCAGGTTAGGAGCTCATGTGGGTGAGTGTTGTTTCCTATGCTTGACTTGCGTTTGAAATACACATGAAATGCAGGTGAGCAAATTTCCATTGACTTTAACCTCTTCGTGCTGGCTGTGCAAATGTGTGGCCTGCCAGCGTCTGGGTCTTGACGCCGAGCGGCCACACATTTAGAAAAACATATGTGCTGAGAGTGCGCGCTCCCAGCACATATGTCCGGTGCTCATGGAAAGGTCCCGATCTCCTCTTTCGATCGGGACCTTTCCCGAATCATGTGACCGCTGTGATGGCACATCACGGCAGTCACATGACCCTAAAACCCAGCCCCGACTCCCGGCTTCTGAAACCCTTAAAGGGCTGGGAGGAGCCCAGTGCCAAGGGTTTATTTAAGTAGTACACATGGCAGTTCAGAGGTGGTGTTTGACCTGCTTTGAGTTGCACTGTGTTTCTTTGGATCCAGCAAGTCCTATTGAGGTATATTTGAACTGCAGGTAAAGCAAGACAAATTCAGCCTTTTCCTGTCAAACACTGTATTTGAATAGCAAACCCATTGTTTGAAAAGAATGCTTGTCAACATGAAGCTGCTACAGGGTGTTAAGTGTCTAGGTAGAGAGAGGGTTAAAGTTGAACACCAGAGATGTAAAAATGCCAAAATGTTAAAAATCAATAAATGTATTTTTAAATGTAGCTAATATAAATACCTGATTATGATTTGATATCAGCCTCTTGTAATCCCCTGTATAACAGCACTCAGGGTGGAAGAGACAGAGGGAACACCTGAGGCCAATCAGGTGCCCTGTTGACAAGGATCATGCTGACAGGAGGACAGAGTTGTTGATGCTGCTCTCTAGCTGTGTTGCCAACTAACGCCTGACCGGCTGCTGTGGCTTTGGTCAACAATGATGGATTGAGCTAATTTATTAGATAGAAAGCTAGGTCTGTGCTACAGTGTGTACAGTGCTCAGCATAAATGAGTACAACCCTTTTGAAAAGTAAGATTTTAATCACTATCTCAATGAACACAAGAACAATTTTGAAAATTTTGACAAAACCGATTTTTATAGAACATATATTTAGCTCACTAAATGAAAGTAAGGTTAATAATATAACTTAGATTACAAAATCTCCAGTTTTACTCAAATTATTTGATGAAAAAATGAATACACTCCACAACAAAAACTATTACATTTAGTATTTTGCATGACCTCCGTGATTTGTAAGGACAGCACCAAATCTTCTAGGCATGGAATGAACAAGTTGGCGACATATTGCAACATCTATATTTTTCCATTCTTCAAAAACTACCTCTTTTAGAGCCTGGATGCTGGATGGAGAGTGATGCTCAACTTGTCTCTTCAGAATTCCCCATAGGTGTTGGGTTCAGATCAGGAGACATGCTTGGCCACTGAATCACTTTCACCCTGTTCTTCTTCAGAAATGCAACAGTGGTCTTAGATGTGTGTTTTGGATCATTGCCTGTTGGAAAAGTGCACAACAACCAAGGGCACGGACTGATACAGCAGTACATCTGTGAATTCCTGATACCATGAATTAAATGTATCTCCCTGACACCAGCAGCACTCATGCAGCCCCACAGAAGGACACTGTCACCTCCATGTTTCACTGTAGGAACCATGCATTTTTCTTTGTACGCCTCTCCTCTGTGACGCCATACAGTTTTGAAGCCATCAGTTCCAAAAACATTTATCTTGGTCTCATCACTCCAGAGTCCCAGTAGTCTTCTTTTTCAGCATGGGCCTAGGCAAATTCTAGGTGGGATTTTGTGTGCATTGGCTTTTGGAGAGACTTTCTTCGTGGACACAACACACATGCATGCCATTCCTCTGCAGTGTATGCCATATTGTGTCACGGGAAACAATCGCCCCAGTTTGGCTATCTACTTCTTTAGCTAACTGCAGTGAACTTGCATGGCAATTTTCTTCAACCCTTCTCATCAGAAGACGCTCCTTTTGAGGTGTTAACATCCATGGACAGCGTGCACATAGTTGAATTCATGACAATTAGAATTTTGTTGTCTAAAATTTAGCTTTCCTCCTTAAACTTTCATTGGAGTGTATTAATTTTTGCAACATGGTCCTGAATTAATTTATTAGGAAATATTCTTTTTGTGTGTGCAAATTAACAAATCTTGTTTGCAATCAAAGGCCTGCATTTGTGGGAGCATTTTGCAGTATAGTGTCCTCTAGAAAATGTTGATTCTGAGAGAAAAGTAAAGGTTTTCTGACAACTCTGTTGGGGTGTACTCGTTTATGCTGAGCACTGTATGTAGTGGCTACCTTCCAGTATATTAGTAGGTGAACCTATTTATTGCAATAGAGTTCATATGCACCCTATGTTAATATTGTTGACCATGTTCCTTTTAGTTTTATCTCAAGGCTCAATAACCAGCATAGGCTAAAGCCAGGCTAGACATTCAATGGAGAGAAAATATGATCCCCTGCGCTTGAGGAAAGTGCACCAACTGGCAGAAGAGTATTCTCCAATAAACTCTATACTGAACATGAGAATGTCTGGTTTCCTACATGAATAACAAATGCGTGAAGAACTTCCAAAAGATAGACGCGTTTTGAGGGGTGATCTCCTTTTCATGAGAGCCCCTCCTCATCAGGGGATAACTCCTCGAAACGCATCAAACTTTTTGAAGATCTTCATGCATTTGGGATTCGTGAAGACCAGACGTTCTCATGTTCATTAGAGTTTGATATGCCCTTTTCATTTGTGTTGTTTGTGTATATATATCTACTCTTTTATCATTAAAAAAAATCACTATTGAGGTAATGCGCTAGGTTGGTGCGCCTTATGTTTCTTGTTTTTGTAGGCATTCAATGGCCCAGTAGGTAGTTAGAGGGCCATTTGCATGGCAGAGTAGAAATTACTAGGGAATAAGATGAAAAGTAGATAGGGTGACCCTAGGTTCCAGTATTACACCAGTTTCAGCTGGTGAGAAGCTACGTTCCAGACCAATTGGACAATGGTTGAAGGATCTCCCCATCATCACGCAATGGGGGGGATTTACTAAAACTGGAGAGTGCAAAATCTAGTGCAGCTCTGCATAGAAACCAAAAAGCTTCCAGGTTTTATTGTCAAAGCTTAAAGTGTTACTAAACCCAGGACCCTGCATTCACTATATCTGATCGCCAACAGTACACAGAACATGGAAGTGCAATTATTTTAGTGAATATAAACTGCTAAATACCTTTTCTCATCAGCGGTTAGGGCAGTCTTATAACTTATTTTCTTTTCCTCCAGACATAAAGGGTGTCCCCCTTGTCCTCTGTGATGACCTCAGGGTGAATAACTCTACACCAAGTTCACTATATGAACCACTGATGTATTTATACATGTTGATCATATCCCCCCTTAATCTCAAGAGAGAATACATTCAGTTCCTCTAATCTTTCCTCATAGCTGAGCTCCTCCATGCCTCTTATCAGTTTGGTTGCCCTTCTCTGTACTTTCTCCAGTTCCCCAATGTACATTTTTTGAATTGTTGCCCAAAACTAAACTGCATATTCCAGATGAGGTCTTATTAATGATTTGTACAGGAGTA